TTTTTATCGGTTTTTAAATTTTTATGGCCGCATAATAACTATATTTCAATTTTCGGGCCAACATGTAATTGCTATCAAATAGATATAAAATATTGAAATATATAGCCTAGGAATTCGTACGTATTAGCTATACTGTTCTTTTCTAACAAGTTTGCCTTAAAAACGACTGAATGCACACCAAAAAATATTATATTAAAATAATTATTAACCAATTTTATTTCCTCATACGGTTAATTTATAGAGCTACATGCACATCTGTCGCGCCGGTCGTCTGTATACTGTTCAGGCACTCTTTAGATTTTAGGGACATAAAAATACATGCATCTTACACAAACATTGACTTAACATTTTAATTTGGGTCACGAAGAAAAATCCAGTCGATGTTGAAATAGTAATATGATATAAACAAGTTGGTTAAACTACAGATAACGAGCCCTACCTTGCGTGGTGGTCCATGTTGTCTAAAAATAAACATTTGGTTAATTATAGAATACCAATGTGTGTACATAATTAGCGAATTTTTAGGTCAAAGTAAACTATGCATGATTGAGCGGTAAGATAGGGTGGTGTGATTTCATTCTCCATGAGTTGGTGTGCGTACTTAATAATTAAAAAATAATTTCTTTTATACCTGTCCAGTTACAGTAAACGTATAGTGGATTTATGTTACTGATGTGATCTTTGTGAAGCAGCCAGAAAAAGCGCAGCAATGACATTCAATATCGAATATTTTGAGTTATCGGCGGATTTTATCAGTTATTTATAAAAAATATATAAGATAAACAAAAACCTATATGAATAATTGCGTTTCAATTCTATCATTTCAGTGTCGCATAATAAAAAACAAAAGCACTAAATTTTCAACCAATCATGTGCTCACTGACTGACAACGTTTTCACGTGATAACTTGAAAAGTAAATACTAAGTCCAGAAAATTTACCTCATGACATGTGTAATTACTGATTGCGTCAACTTGTGAACATGATTTATGACAACGATAAGCGTTTTATAACATCATTCATCGGCAGAGATGAACATCCATTATGGTTATCAGAAGAATCATTAGAATGGCAAACAAAATATTTATTTTTTCATAACTCTGTCTGGAAGATCAATTAGGGTCTAGCTAAGGTTTTGAGAGGAAGGGATGAATATGTTGCAAGAGTTTAATTCATAGACCTGTGTAGTGCCTATAGTGGGATGATTTGGAATGTCAAAATATTGTTAATGCAAGTAGGAATTTATGTTTATCTATCGAGTATCGGGCTTAATGTTAATCCTCAGTTGGCAAAAAAGCCTGAAAGACATTGAACTAGCATTGTTATTTATCTTTGTTGCTTTTAAGGGCCTGCTCGATGCACAACACAAAATTTGCAAATTAGCCTTCATCTATATTTTTCGGCAAATTTTTCGCTGACCAATCACATTGGCAAGATTTGTTTTTGTCTTAGTGAATTTCGCCTAGTGGGAAGTGGGCTTTACTCATCGTTTCCGTTAAAGTTTCCGTTAGTTTTGGCGCATAAGTATATTAACGTTTACCGTAACTGCCAGCCAGAGTCTGCCAGACTAAAATAGCATTATTGTCATGGATAAACTTCACGTGATTATTATCATGTTTTGATATATAGTTCTATTTTTAGTTAAAACAACCGGCCTGGACTATAGCTTTAATAGTATAAAGTTTGAACTGACTGTTAGAAATTATCATGTTAGGCATGTTACAAGTGTTCAAAATGATTAGTGCTATAATCTCTCAGTATTACATTTGGCCTTAACGAGTTGCCTTCATATTTTACACATTTCCGTTTCATACAATCGCATCATTACATTAGATTCCAGCCGTTCTTTAAATATGATGGGCCGCCGGAATCAGTGAATAGTGCATGCTTTCTGTCACTGCAAATCTTGGCGACAATGGTTATTTTTTATGCATGAGCATGCATACACTGCCAGTAAATTCTGCATGCACGGTGGTCAAAAGGGTTAAGTTGTTAAATTGAGTTAATTGTAGTATAAATGGATTATCTTTAGGCTAATTTAGATTATTCCTGTTGGGCAAACGTCATTTTTTATTGCCGATATTTTTAACATCTATTAGATAGTGCAGAATAACACCACTTGTGAAACTTCCTAACATCCTGTGTGGGTGTTTTAAGCTACAAAACAAAAGGGCGGTAGAATACACTAAAAAGACAGCGCATTGACAGTACAACAAATTTTCAAATCACAAATAAGTTTGTTTGCCTTTGTCATTTCAACAAGTTCGGCTATTCCAATGGCGATGCATGCATCTATATATGCACTAAACACTTGTATTTGATATGCGCGAGTTAAGCCTAAAGTGATGGCTAAACATATATAACTGTTAAACTGTCATAAATTGTTATATGCGTACCTGTTGATTGATAAATATATAGGAGATTAGGAACGTGTGCGAGCATGTTTTTTGTTACTCCATTCAGATTTTCTTTACATGAAAGATTTTCCATGCATTTAGATCCATTTTTCCTCGTAAAATTTTGATATTTGACTCATATGAAATATAAAAAACAAATTATCAAGTGAACTTTTTACAGAACTGCGGTGTTAAAAGATGAATATTAAAGTCTATAGCTATACACTTTTGTATATTTCTTTTTGGAAACACGTGATAGCTATATTAACATACTTCTCTCCCTGAATATGTAATCAAAAATACTCCTGTCCTGGCTAGTTGTAGTGTTCAATGTATAGTTTTCTGTTTATTGCACTTTAAAACTGATTTGCCAATTGCCCCTGATCGAATGGCAGTGGTGTAACGTTATATCAGGGAGCCCCCGGTTCAAAATTTTCGAAGGTGCCGCACCTAGTAGAAGTGCCAAAGGCACGAGTTGAGCGCCGTATATGCACAAGTTTTCTAGGGGGTTCAGGGCATGCTCATGCACGAGGAAAATTTTTGAATCTAGAGTCTCTGAAATGCCATTTGGCTGGACTTTAGGAAGAGATTTTACACAATTCTGATGGTCAGAAAACGACATTGTAACATATCAATTTTTTTTACAATTTTATTGAAGTTGCGCACGTCATATAGATTATTTACAAAAGTGAAGAGTAATAAGGTTATAGTGAGTAGTATATATAAATTGGAGTTAGGCTAATAATTCATTATGTCGTGCGCAGTGGACAAAGTAGCATAATGCTTTCGAGTTGTCCACTGCCTAGCAGAGTCCTCCCTGGCCAATGTTTTTGCTTTATACAGCCTGAGGGCCCCCATTTTGGCCCATATTGGGATTGGGGCCCCCGGGTTCGCACGGTCTGCACCCATAGTAGTTACGCCACTGCTGAATGGCCTTTCTCATATTAACATATTTCTCAGGCATGTTTAATTTGTGCACGAATATATGTTTCTCTTCTTGAACCAAATCACAAACCTACCCTTGACTATATTGTGCATAGTATACAGTTTATTAATTGGCATGTAATTATTCTATTTTCTGAAACTGCTGCACATGCACAGTAAAAGTTCGTAATGCAAAATTCCAGAATTAAGTTTAAAGTTATACCAAATAACTCAATAATCCTCTTTAACTTCCTGTAAACATATAGCTATACCGTTAATATACCCTCGTTGAGACGTTATAAATAGTCATTGGTCTGCATGATGATGTCTTATATAACTTGTGATTAAATTTTTTTTGTTTAAATTCTTGTTTTCTTATATCTTGCGTTCTTATACAACGAGTAATTTTCAGTCTTCATTGCATGTTTACTGTATTTTAAATTTTCTTAATATATATATATATATATATATATATATATATATATATATATATATATATATATATATATATATATATATATATATATATATATATAATTATGCTAATTCTCGTTACCATATATAATTATATTGGCTAATTCTCGTTACCTTCGCCAGGAGGTTATCAGGTTATGTTTTCACTTGGGTTTGTGTGTGTTTGTCTGTCGGCACGATAAATAAAAAATATCACATGCATGCAGGCATTATTGCGAAAATTTGTGAGGTTACTAGCCAAGGACAAGTCAAGGACAATTTTGGTTCAATTTGGATGAAAATTGGATGCAAAATGAGCGTTTGTCTTCCTTCTCCGGGCAAAGAAAACAGATTAGTACTTGACCTAGTAGTTATAGTCACTGAGTATCCTCTATATAGTACTTATAGTAATCCGGCTTTATTCATCAATTAAATACCAATACAGGCACATATGAAATTACATACGATAAAAAATACTAAACGCATCTTTATAATAACTATAAAATATAAGATTATAAAGAATGTATTTACATTTTTTATATATTATGAATATGAATGATAATATGCGTGTTTATACGTATTGTATACTTCATGGTTATCATATAATAGAAGACTTTCAAAAACTCAATAATTCATGAGGAAAACACAAAGAGAAATCATAAGCGTGGCGTGTCTTTATATGAAGAAGAAACTTTATTCAAACAAATACCAATATTGGTACATTGAATACCTACATATACATTAGTTACAAAATATAAAAAAGACAGTACAGTATATAAACTTACAAATAATTTATTCAGGCTAACTCATTCAAAAAGTTCTTAGTATATCGTATAGCAATATTTTGAAGATAATTTCAGAATATTTCTATCTTTAATACTTAGTATATAATGGAACAAACTTTGTGTCTCAAAATATTTAAATGATTGGTCAATTTTATAAACAGAATTAATGAAATTCTGTCGCAAAAATGTAAACACTGTGTTACCACATGGCATTAGGTAATGTTGTTCATTTCCAACTTCACCCTGATCACAAAGTTTACATTTTCTGTCACAATAGGCAATTTTTTTATATTGGCCAATTTCTACTGGTAATCTGTGCGCTGAAACTCGTAATCTTGTAACTGCTTGACGGTATTTAAAATTTTTAATTTCTAAAAGGTATTTTTCAATACCCACATTTACTTTAAGTTTCTTATATTCTTTCAATTTACCACTATCACCATTTTGAAGAACCTGGTCTTTCCAAAATGAGGTAAATTCGTTATTTAATGTAACATTTAAATAATGGCAAAAATTTCGTCTTGTTTTGGTTGACTCATCACTGGAGTTTGAAAATTTTTCGAAGTCCTTCATCTATATGTGATAAAACACGCTTCAAATTTCAACTTGTATTTTCTCAGCTAATACAAAGTTATTTTGGAAAATTATTTCGCCAATGTCGTGATCTAACTGAGACGTTTTTGAAGCTGTTTAATAAACTCGTAGTTCGTGTTTTATCACATATAAAACACTCCGCTACGCGTCGTGTTTTATATGTGATAAAACACTCCTACTCGTTTATTAAACAGTAGGCCTACGTAATATCATGAAAATATTTTGCTACTATTTTCATGTTAGATTTATCATGTATTGATAATATATAAGAATAAATTAGTTGTATCAAATAAGCGGAAAGAACTATTGATACCATATAAGTTGTTTAAAAAAGTATTTCGAGTTTCTGAAATTCAGTCAGTTTGGTTGGAGCATGACAATAAGTATGTAGTGAAACTATAGATTCATCTCCAATTTCATTCGATTGACATAAGGTACAAAACCGATCTTCGTATGGTGTTTTATTATATCTGCCAGATTCAACCGGTAGTTTGTGCGCAGATATTCTCATTTTTGTTATTGCTTGGCGATGTTTAACATTGCATATCTCATGGAGGTATTCTTCAAATGCAAAACTTGTGCGAGAGTTCTTAATTTACCACTAGACTTTGACGTCTTTGTTCAATCTGATCTTTCCAGAAATCGGAGTAAAGTAAGTAAATAATCTATTTTTTTTAGTAAACTCCGAGTATAAGTTTAAATACTTCCAACTGCAATGATTCCATTTTATTTACCACACTGAAAAATTTCTTTTGAAAAAGTTCAAACGAAGAGATTTTATACCCAATAAACATACACCCCAGATTTCACAACCATATAATAAAACTGGATAAAATAGTTAGAGTAATGTTTTCGGCAAATCAGTATATTCTCTGCATTTGAAAGTTTCTGCATTAGGCGATTGTAAGCTCGTAATGCCTGTTGTATAACATTGTTATCGCTATCTTAAAGTTATCACCACAATGAAAAGTTAATCCCAAAACTACTGAAGTGTTATATATTCGTTCACACAATCCAGTGGATTGTTCACACAATCCAGTGGATTGTCCCCGAAGAACCACTTGGTGGAGATAAATTGTCGTCTTTGGGACTGTTTCCCGAAAATTAGAATTTTCGGGTTTTTTAGATTAACTTGTAAAGTTTCCATTTCTTAGACAGTAGCCTATATATAATTCAAGCTTTTGAAGGCAGTATTGCAGTTCAGATTCTGATTCTGACATTATCACCAAGTCGTCGTGAAACAAACTTCTTCTCCAAACTTCACAGGTTCACAAGTAGTATTAAACAATATTAGCTATAGTTGTATCTCAGTCTTTTATAGCAGCAGCGCATGCATGTGACAAACGAATTAACGCTACATATGTTTGAGTATTCTCCTAGATTAGGAAAAATATACCAACACAATTAAATCTGGTTAATTAAGACAATGTTTCGCCGATGTTTCGTCATTAAAACTTGAAATTATATATAGTTATAATTTAAAGATGCTATTCAAGGTGTTGGATGCTTTGGCCTGCAGTGCACGAGATGCAAACGTATCGCGCACCAAGCACGCGCAACTGCATGAATCCAATCGATAAACGGATATGTCAAACATTATCATAGACTGAGTTGGTTCTGTATATAACGTCAGCTTTTCTACGGAATAATAAACACAGGCTAATGGAATTTTAATTCATATATTTGCAAATTTCGTGTGAATTAGTATATAATACTTTATATATGATGCATGCATGGGGGTATATGTTTCCTGATTTTCCCAATAACCCAATTAACACGTCATAACCAGTCAAACACGATCATGTATATTTGTTTCACATTAAATCTCACAAGGTCATTAAGCCAATAATGTGAAGCTTCGAATTTCTCGCGTATTCTCACACAAAGTCAACTCACAGTTTTATAATTAACAAATATAAAACATTTTGCGTGTTGATATACAGTTATATCAACACGAGTGGAAATTGGGAAAATGAGCCGGAAAATGTGTTGGAAGAAACACGACGCCCAGACTGTTTTCACACAATTTCGAGTTTTCCCAATTTCCACGAGTGTTGATATGTTTATTTTTTTTTAATATGGCAAGAAGAAATATAAAGAAAGAAATTTTCCGTGTTGATATTGAGTTTTAGTATTTTTGCATGTATATATATATATATATATATATATATATATATATATATATATATATATATATATATATATATATATATATATATATATATATATATATATAATATATATATATATATATATATATTAAGATGAAAATGTTCTAGAGTGTGTATTATATAATTTCCATACCCAGCGCAAGCAGAAAGATGTTGTCTGCCGCGGCTGGGTCTCGAACCCGCGACCTTCGAATTACTAGATCGACGCTCTACCAACTGAGCTACACGGCCAGACGGATTTATTCCAGTCTTAAATCCGTCTGACTGTGTAGCTCAGTTGGTAGAGCGTCGATCTAGTAATTCGAAGGTCGCGGGTTCGAGACCGGCCAGCCGCGGCAGACAACATCTTTCTGCTTGCGCTGGGTATGGAAATTATATAATACACACTCTAGAACATTTTCATCTTAACATATTACGGAGTGTACAATTACACAACTTAAAATCCCACGACTTTCGGCAGAGCGTTGACTTTTACTCTTTTCACGTGAGGACTGGGTTCGAGTCGCATTGAGAAAGTTCTCACTGAGGCTTGAACCTGCGGCCTCAGAGGTGAAAGGTAAGTGCGCTAACCACTTCGCCACCGAAGCCCCCTGTATTTGAGTATAACAAATCATACAAATTTGGCGTATTACGCTATTATATTCACCTGCAGGTGAATATAACAAAACCAAAATTTGCAAAATGGCGGCTAGCCGTTTTGTGGAAGTTACTGATAAAGAAATAAGCGAAATTAAAATAAATTCAGTCCCAAAAAACTCAAAAGACTTGTGTAAAAATATTAAAACAATTATTCGCCTCAGGCTCAGTGATTATAGTATCGGGGAATATTCCCCGATAATTACCTCGCCTTCGGAAAATAATTGTTAAATATTAACACGGCTCTCAGCCGATCAGCGTTCAGAATTACAAATGCTATATTATAACGGTATATATAACAGAAACCGAAAACTCGAAAGTAGAATAATTTTGGATACACAGGATATGGACTAGCTAATATAGCTATACAGAGTAAAGATTTAAATGGCTATATTTCGATCCGTTAACTTTCATTACCCTTTTAGTTTATTTAGTTTACATTTATAAACGATCATGATATTGATGATGATGATGATGAAATAGGATAGAAATTTTGATGATGATTCTATAAAAAATCTGAATTGTATGAATCCCCATTTCATGGGTTCGAGATGTCTTCGATGTTTTTGTTATGACTATTGACTGCATGATTATATGAAGCCGTGTTATGATTATATAGCCGTGCTGTTTTACTGATGTTCAATGGCAAAGTCCATGCATAGCAGACTATAGGTTTTCGACCTTCCTCTTTGACGTGTATTTCCTGGCTACAAAACACTACTTTATATAATACCTGTGTGAACTAACTGGGAGATATTGAAAACGTAATAAGATTAATTGCCATTAATTCGCTGAATTGAAACTCCATCAGATGACAGATTTGGCAGGAAAACATGTCAATGTCAACATGTTATGTTTTTCTATCGTAGTTGCTTGTGCAATGGTTGTTTATGTGCATTAGTTGTCAATGTTGAAATGTAGAAGGAGTCTGGTTGTTATATTTGATATAGTGGGAAATTTTAAAAATGTCGTCCAAGATGCCAGTAGTGCAATGAACAAATATTACTTTCACTATAGGCGTAAGATAGGGGGCAACTGCAGCCCCCAATAGACCTTGCCGATTATTCTCTTTTATTCAATGGCCTCGTTTCTATGTTAACTTATTTTAGCATGTCAGGGGCAGATAAAAATAATATTCCCATGTTTTCCTGGACGAATTTGTTTCTTGCTGTTCTTTGGCTCAATAACTGAAAGTAATTTTCAACCCTACTAAGCACAAAACATTTAGTAAGTATTTGACACGAAAACGAGGCCATTGGGTGAAAAGTGAATAAACGGTAAGGTCTATTGTACTTAAAAATCAGGCAGACTCTTTGAAAAAAGGCAGAAAATTTGGGAAGATTATGACGCTGGGAAAGTGTGTTCGTCCCTTTACCCTTTGTTTTCTTTGTTAGTCGTAGTAGACGGCAACAATAACCATTGTTCATAGTCCATGGTTCGTTGCAATAACATAGCCATTAAGATTTAAAATCGGTTATTGATTATGTGTAAGATTCGGTTTCAAAAACAACAGTGCGCATGTTTAAAATCAGTTTCTTCCTAAAATGAAAACTTCCTAAAGCTCAAAACTTCAACCTAGTATAGTTGCAAATATTTAGTCATGATCAACTAATTACGCCAGACAATATTTCAGTTAATGTTCCCCCTTTTGGTTGGCGGTTCCCAATATCTATGCGAATTTCATGCAGTCAGTCACAACTCAAACATTTACGATGTGATAATGAACTTTACTGGACAACAATAAGTCACTGATATTAACGTCATGGACCTCTGCAATGAAGATTAAATTTACTTAGTGGTGGTCTTGCGGGAAACTATTAAGTATACCAATGATCGATCTCAATGCTAATGAAAGTGTTGAAAATATGGCGATTAAAAATTGCAACACTTCTGCAAATATATTTGTTTATAGTAGGTGATATAGGAATAATTTGTTATATTATCCGACAATCAATAAGTAAAATAACAAGCTAATTCGTTATACTTTGGACTTTCAATTACCTATCCTCCTTCAGTTGTGTAATTAAACACTGAAAATCATTCATACATAACTTACAGTAAACGTAATTAAAAATTTAAATTGTTGTGGGAGTTTGATATTTTCCAAACAAGCTGACTCGACACTATAGCTATGTGTTCATTTATTGATTAATTTTTAAGAATATAATACAGTTACATCCCGCATAAAGAACCACTATTTTTTGCAACAAGCTCAATTATGGTTCTTATAGAATATATATAGTAACAGGTATTATGTTATGGAATCAGGCCCTTATAAAAACTGCATGGTTTCAATTTCTACTTACCAATTCAGAGGTTACACTGATAATTGCTGACACCACAAATTAAGCATATCCGAATGTCCATGGCCAATTTTAGAATCATGCAGTAAACCAAGTCTACACATTGGCTGCTATAATGACAACCGAATCCATGTACAGAAAATGTTCACATGACCGGCAAGTATCGAAAGTAGCCGATACTACCAATTTAAGTACTCACTTCCGGCATCGAAAATTGAAATTTTGTATTCATTTTGGTATCGAAATAGGTATCGGTATCGGCCGATACCGATCTTAAAAGTATCGGTATCGGTATCGAATTAAAAATCCTGGTATCGCCCATCACTATTTCAAATCATGCATTACATTAAATTAATACTTTTGCGGAGGGGGGGGGGGATTGAAAAAATTAAGATCACAAGAAAAATTATGAGTATAAAACTAAAGTAAGAAAAACCAAAAATACTTGAAGAGAAACAATAAAAAAACCCAAAATTATGATTAAAAAAGTGAGGCCTGTTTCATACGTTTTCAGACGAATTTAATTCGTTATTAAATTCGTCAATTGGTCAACATGATTAAAATGGTTTCGTTTCAAACGACGAATTCATTTTATGATTAATATATAGCGATCATGGATGACCCAGATCTGAAAGACAGAATTTATGCATGTAATTTGACACGACGACACGACGCGTATATGAAACGAAGACGCACTACAAACCGGTTGTATCCGTCAAAACGTTTTGGACGAATTTAATTCATCAGACGAATTTTTAATTTGTTTCATATACGATGCACTATAGCGTCACATTTAATTCGTCAATTAATTAAAATTCGTCCGAATTAAGTTCGACGATAGTGCAACGTATGAAACAGCTATGTGTATATCGTTTTCTAGCAGTCCTTTGGCCTGCAATAAAAATCCAATATAAAATCAGAATTGCAAAAGAAAACAGAACGGAACACTAAAGTGTAAGGTGCTTACATATACTACATAGTCATAGAGTATATTATCCGCTCGGTGCTTTGAAATGATACGCACTTGAGACATAATTACATAAACACTCTGTTTAAAGAATACCCGGCACTAAAACATTATTCACGAATTTCACGGTACTTCAAATGTTTTGAACATCACTTATATATATGATATTAATATCGCGACCACCGGATAATTATAGAAAGTATGGCCGCTGTTTTTTTACTATTTATCGGCATAATGCATTTTAGTCAGACCATAGTCATAGACGTAGCAGTGGTAATTTAGAGAGAATTTTCCCCTGGCAAAAATACTCTATTAGGCTAATTATCTTCTGCTTCAGCATAACAATGTGTTTTTTTTAATGCCTGTTATGGCTTATATGTGTATCTTTATAACACATATAAGCATTTTTATCTTTGTGATGTAATTTTGGATTTAGTTGGGGTGTCGTTAGTATCCAGAGGCAGAGTACTAATTTATATAAAGTTATCCGAAACCATATCTCTCAGCCAACTGGACAGGTGTTTTCTAAAGAAAGAAACAATTTAATTGGTCTGAACCCACTGAAAACAATTGTCCATATAGATCCATAAAAAGCTGCGTTTTTTCTGTAAAATGCATGTGGGCACATTTTTTGTAAAAAAATTGAAGATTTAATCTTTTTAATTATGCTGTTTAATAGCTACATCTTTTTTGGTCTATGTTTGGAATTCATGAAGTTTTGGAAAATTAACAATGATATCTCATTGCAATTAAAAAATAGATACGCTGTAGTGTACATAGTGTCTCCTGGGTCAGTTGTTTGAGATAAACTCATCATAGATGAGTGCTGAACATGAAATGACCATTTTATTATTGAAAATGATGAGACTATTTAAAACACGCGGAGTGTTTTATCATATTTAAAATGCTAGTGCGCAGCACGAGCATTTTAGATATGATAAAACACGACTACAAGTGTTCTGAATAGCTTCAAACACGATTACAATAGGTGCCGTCTCATTAGTATTTTTTATGTAAAGAATACTAATTAGAATGGACTTTTATATAAAGAATACTAATGAAGATGAGTTTTATCAAGTTGACATGCATGATTTGACAATAAGCTTATGAATTTAATATTAATGAGTGTTTAAAATATTAAATAAACATGCATACCAATTTCATGGCAAAATCTGGCCATAACCATTTTAATCCTCTAATTTTACTCGATCTATAACAATGTATCGCAAAAATGCCCCCACGATGTTTTGACTTTTGTGATATTGCAACGTTCGGTTTCATAAACGTTTCAGATTTTTACAGTAGAGTGAAATTTGATAACAAAATAACCAACCGTTCGCCTTCTATGCACCAATGCTTCAAAGTGGTGGGCTAACCTGGGCAAGCGCTATTGAAATTAAACACAAAACAATAAAGACACTTCATAA